GGCGGGGGCCTGGGGCCTGCGGGGACAGGGTCAGCCTGCCGCTCTGCCGCTCCGTTACCCTGTTACTCGGTGCCCCGCTCTCCTGCCTGAGTCCCAACTCGCCGCTAACGAAGCCGGGGCTGTACCTTTTGTCTTCGCGTCTATAGTGAAGTACCTGGCTTTTAGGATTTGGAGTATCGATGCTTTGGCTGCAGTGAGGCTTCGAAAGGAGAACTGTGGGGAGGGAACAACTTTTTGGACGGGGAAGTCCGCAGCGCTACGCTGGCTGTGTTTGCGGTAGTGCTGGGTGGGTTTAAGCAAGTCACATCACCGCTGGGCCCCTGTTCCTCCAGCTGTAACGTGGAATTAAAAGTGGCTTCTGTCTGAAGAGCTCTGAGGGGAAGGGTGCTGTGTGAAATCCAGCGGTGGTGTGGCTGAAACACTTGTGTGAGATTTGAGCATAACTATAACACCTTTAATGATGTCACGTGCTGGCAGTGAATTCACTTCCTTATAAACCACTATAAGAGCACAGGATAGTACTTATTTAATAACTTATTTTTCATAGGTTGGAGCAGCTTTGCCTGTTGATGTCTTGACATATGAGGAAAAAACTCTGTCTGCCATATTAAGAGTTATTAGCAGGTAAGGTGCAGCAGGTACGCACTTCAAACACTGCTATAAAAATATATTTCATAAGAAAACAGAACTCTTAACCTAAGGATGGTCTTTGACGAATTAAGGCTAACTTGCAGATGTATGCATAGAGTATGCAGAAAATACGAATTCACTAAGCTTTGTAACCTATGTGCATCAGTATGTTATTCCTCTAAAACGGAATGGTCTGGTAGGACCATTGAAATATGTGGCTTTACATTTAATTTCTATGGTAAAGATGAAAATGGTCTCCAGGTTTAAATGGTGAAGACAACTGCGGGTGATTTAGGGGAAGAAGGAGCTTAAAGGCACAGAAAGAATAAGGCTGGTAAAGTGAACTTGAAAAGGTTACAGTATGTATCTATGTATATCAAGGACAACAGACTGCAGTCATTGCAATAACACTCTGGGGCACTCAGTTGCTACTAGAACTCTGGTGAAATTACCTGCGGTTAAACTCAGTTAAGGTTTCATTAATCTTTATATAACGTGCTTTTATTTAAGATATTTATGCTGCAGGAAAACTGAGAACAATAAATTTTATTAATAAATTTCATTTTATTTAGTGGCCTTGTCAAGCTGTGGAGTGCTCTAACGTTGCTGGGCTTCTATCAGAACAGGAGGTGTGCCTTTCGAGTGCTGCAGGTAAAGCCCTGCAGGGGCTGGATGGCGTCTCCCAAATGTCAGTTCTTGCTGTAAGGTTGTCTGGCTGCCTGAGCACGCTGCCTCTTTGTAGAAAGATGGCCTAGATGCAAAAACATCTTCGTTTGGGAGTGAAATGCTTTTCAATGCAGGTGTGTAGGTCTGTGTTGAAGTAATAATGAATCTTGTAAAATGTGACAGTAGTGCCTGTCTCGTTACTTTATGGTTTCATTCCAATGAGGAGCCCTGATCTCATTAATAAATCTGCAAGAAAATAATTTCTGGAAAGTTTTGTTCTTGGCCCACACCTTCGTCCAATCTTTTATTTCCCCTATCCCATTTCTTCCCTTTCTAATAGTCACTGTCGACTGACCTCATTTAAAAATGCATGCGTAAACATGCACTTCCAGAGCTCCTTTTTTTTCCTGAGGGTGCTGCTTAATAAAATGAGTTCCAAGAATTCTTTGTCTCCGAAGCGATGGCTAAACAAAAATCTGCTCAGGCATAGCTCTAAGCTTTTAATCTTTTCTGTAAAAGGGAAATTTAAGTATTTTCAACTCTGCGTGTGTTTAATGTTGTTTCGTATTTGGTTTTTTTTTTTTAAATGCTTTAGTTTGTTTCTTGCTTTGTTTTTGTTTCTCCCCCAAACTAGACATCTCCATTTCTTCTTGCGTTATCTGGGAACAGTAGAGAACTAGTCTTGGACTGAATGCTGTCGTTGGTTTGGTTGTACAAAGCAGAAGTTGTTTGAGATGTTGCAGCCCTTCAGGTATGGAATTTCTGGAGGTGATTTCCGACAAAGAGCCTTGACAAAGCTAACAGTTATCAACTCACTGCTTGGACGTCTCGTACTTCAGAGTTTACACATAAAAGTTGGAGACAAAGCTGAACTTACCAAAGCTTTTACACAGAATGATGTTGTTACTTTTTCTGATTTAACAGGTGACACAAATCCTTTGCATTTAAATGAAGATTTTGCAAAAAAATCTAGGTTTGGGAGAACTATTGTGCATGGAGTTTTGATCAATGGACTTATTTCTGCAGTTCTGGGTACTAAAATGCCCGGTCAAGGTTGTGTGTTTCTTTCTCAGGAGATCCGATTTCCAGCTCCTTTGTATACTGGAGAAGAAGTCACAGCTGCAGCGGAAGTTAAACGACTGAAGGGTTCTATTGCACACATTTCAGTGTTGTGTAAAGTCAAAGAAAGTGGAAAGACTGTTATGGAAGGGATGGTGAAAGTCATGGTGTCAGACAGTTAGCGCTGTCGATCCTCTGCTGCATTGCTATAAAGGCCAGAAATGTACACTTGGTTTAGACTCTGTCTTTTTATGTGACATCTCTTAATCCAGTAAAGTTGCAACAAAAAACCTTCAAAATGTTTCAAAGACAGCGCGCAAACTCAATCCACATAGCAACTGTGTTAAGAAACTTAGAGCTTTTTATTTTTCCCTGCGTACTGCTAAGATGAAACCAATGGAACGAGGCACTTAACTGTGACAGAAGAGGCACGTTTAGACGAGTTATTGCGCTGCTACAGTGGGAAGTCTGCAGTGGCAGGGCTTATATTGAGGCTGTTCTTTTCAGCAGAATCGCAGTCCACACTAGCTATGTTCAGTTCAAACTTGTTCGCTCTTTACAAACTTGTTATATTGTTAAGAAGCACCTGTGGGAAGGAACGATGCTGTGTGTTTAACAAGCAGAACAGAAGTTGGAGGTATTAACACACATGTACTGCAAGATGGGTTGTCATCTCCGTGGCAGCTCTAGCTGATGTTGGTGCAGTGTGCTCTTCTACGATGTTCTAGCTAGTAAAGCCTGCCTTAGCTCTGCAAATAAGTAGTAGTCAGCCTTCACATAAACAATATGCTCTGCCTGATGGAGCTGGAGATGTATCTCTCGTAATATTTTCAAATTCTTGAGGTACCTTACAAAACCTGATTATAAACAAAAATTTACCTGTAATGATAAATGCCTCTGAAACTTGCTTCCCAGAAGTAGAATGATGGAGGCTTTTAAAAAGCTGTATTGTCACTGCTGGTACTTGTTGCCTCCTTATGCTCCTGTGGGCAAGACAAGCAGGGGCAATTTTATTGAGTACTGTGTGGCTTCTCTCTGCTTATTTGTCTGTGTGAGCACATATTTCTCTTTGCACACTGAAAGTACTTTGGTTGCTGGTAAAGTAGGCTTTTGGTAAATTCATTAGTGAATCACCCGGGTTAAATTATTTTAGTACCAACATAAGATTATTATACACTAAGAAACTTTTTCTTGGGAATGATGGGGAGTAGAAGTACAGGCTGTCTTCAGTTGGTGGCTCATATAATTTTCTGGCGAAACATCTGTCATCCCCCATCTTCTCTGCAGCAGAAATGCATCCGTAACTTTTCTTGGCTGCAAATCACCTGAAAAGTTGTTTGCTATGACAAGAGAGTTTGTCCTCAAACTGTGATGAAAGCCACTGGTAAAACAGTTAACGTTGTCTGGGTGTGTTTTGCTCCTAAAAGCAACTGTTCTGTAACACCAAACCCCAGGTGTCAAGTCAGACTGGGTGAGAGGGAGGGTGGTGTTTAAGCTGTTTGGCTTCTGTATGCCGTCTTCTTTCAAAGCCCTGGGTTTGGCCTGTTCACAGTGTGGAACAAGTACTTGGTGAGAGCTTTCCTTATCTCTTGTCTGTAGGAGTTCTTCACTTCCCCTTTCCTTCTGCCCTGGGTCACTGCCTCATCACTGGCTTTTGCCGTACAAACCTCAGTTTTTCAAAGCAGGCATGTGCCTCCCCTCGTTTGGTGTTCACCAGCCTCCCTAGGTGGGAAGCTGTTGTGTTAATGCCTGTTAACAAAAGGAATCCGATGCGAGGATGAGCCGTAGGTGAGGGGTTAGAGCAGTACTCAAACCCGGGTCTGACCTGCTGGGTGACCAGAAGGAGTGGTTTGGAAGGATTGCTCTGCCAGCCTCGTTTTTTTTTGCTGAACCACAGCGCACAGCGCTTGCTCCTGCCAGCGCGGAGCTGCAAGACGGAGAGATGAGGCTATTTATGATAACTGTTTGACGCGTATGACAAATTCCATCTCTGCAGTCTGTTACAACATCTTAAGTGAGGTTAATTCCTGAAAAAGACAAAATTCCTGTAAAAAGACAAAAGCAAATGCAGACAAGTGTTGAAGGGGCAGTAGGTTCCCAAGTGCTAAGTAGTATTGAAATAAGGAGTTTTCTATGCTGCTACAATGACAGCTAGGTTGTGGAACTCAATTTAACAACATCTTTAAATCTGTGTTTAAAACAATACATGTATCTACAAGTTCAGCAGAAGATACAGGATGCGATGTGATTTTTTTTTTTTTATGATCGTTTAACTACAAAAAAAACCCAAAACCAAACCAAACAAACCAACACAAAAAGGTAAAGAGCCTTTTTTCAGTTTCTCTCTCTCTCTGCGGTGACTAGCAGTGTCCCGGCGCTCGTCGCCCTTCCGCAGCCCGCGCTGAAGCGGCCG